AGCTCCAGGGTCAGAGAGTCGGCCAGGGCCTGGCGGATCAGCCCCACGCTGGGGCTGTCCGACTCCAGCGAGTCACAGCTTTGCCGGTTCTCCTCCACCTGCGCTTTCTGCTCCCGGATGGAGGCTTCCACCAGGCGGAAGATCTCGTTGCCCTGCTTGGTCTCAAAGGTGAAGTTCCCTGGGCCGGAGTTGCAGCGCCTGCCAGCTTCGAAGGAGAACATCACCTGCAGGGGAAGCGGAAGGGTGACATCCTGCCCAGCACCTGCCGCCATCTTTCAGGCTTCGCTCCCTACTGAAGGGCGCATGGCTGCAGCGCTGATCCTGCGCATCCTGCAAGAGAGACTTCACTGAACATCCTGCTCCTGCGCCCTGCGGTGAGGGACACAGCTCGGCAAGCACCTCCCCAGAGGCATGCTGCGCTGAGCAGCTGCACAGTGCCCGGGCAGGGGAAGGCTGCGCTGCCCAACAGCCCAAAACGAGCTGTGAAATCAAAGCGGGATGCACACTTGAGGGAACATCACCGCAAGACGCCCCAGGGCCAGAGCTGCAAGTCCTGCTGGAGCCCTGCTGCCTTACCTGAGCAATTCCAGCAGGGTCAACAACTGGGAACAGATAGTCTAGGAAATAATATGCAGTTAGCACCGAGCACAGAGCAGGGAGAGAAGAGGAGTGACAGTTCAAAAAAACTATTATGGGCATCTTGGGTAGGACAGCATCAGTCAGGCAGAAGGAAAGCGATGCAGAGATACAAGCCGGAGGAACACAGCTTCCTACAGGAGAAAGGCCAGAAGCAGCAGCTTGGCTACCAACAGCAAGCAAAGCATTTGCCTTACCAGCACTACTATGTTAATGGTATAAAGTACTTTAAAGAGAAGTCCTGCACCAAGGCTGCGCTCCCCAGGCCTGAACACACAGACATGTACAGGTTCCCACCAGCAGCTGCCCGCACCCTGCCTGGACCTCAGTCCCTGAATCCAGATGAGGTTGTCTGCCCCACTGGTGCTCTCTCACATGCAGCAGCAGTCTCTGGGGTTGCTGCAAAAGCCTCTGGGGCCAGACTTCCTTTTGTAGGCCAATGCTGCCAAACACAAGCATAGCCAACCCATCACTGCTCGGCGACCTGTGGGTGCAGCTGCCTGCTCCTCACACCACGTGGTTCTCATCCTGCCCCTGGCACAGACCCTGAGGATGAGCCAGATGCCTCCCCAAGAGCAGCTGTTTCCACTTCTGTTTTGGTAAAGTGCTGCAGAAAGCGCCATCAGTGGACTGCAGCTGACACCATCACTTCTGTACACAGCCCTGAGGTGACCATTCAGCGCAGCAGGTACCTCTTGGGCTCAGGGTAGCAGCAAGACCGATCAGGGACACGCTGCTGGAGGACACTGCAGAGGGGACAGACGTACACAGACCAGCCAGGCTAGGAGCAGTACGCCCCGTAAGGTGAACAAATCTGGAGTAACTGGTGTCTCAAACAGCCCCTCCTGCTCTGCCCACCATCCTTCAGGAGGGATGGACTGAATCCAGGGCAGAGCCAGGACTGCAGGGAGCCAAGGTCCCCGGAGGCTGGGGAAAGCTTGCACGCAGCATGGAAAGACATGTCCACCCACAGCATGGGCTGGGGAGCGCTGGGATGGAGAACGTGGGCCAGCCAGCTGCAGGGTTGTCTGGAAGAGGGGCTGGCAGGGGCTTGCCCCATGGGAGTGCGGCAAGGACCACACAGAGAGGGGCTCTGCACAGCCATGCCCTCAGCGGGGACAGGTGTCCTGCTAGCCCATGCTCCTGCGTGGTGACAGAGGTGGGAGCTGAGGACAGATGGGATCTCAGATGCCCCTGGGGACTCTGCTGTGGTCACCGAGGGCTGCAGCAGTTCTGGCACTGGACAGGGTCTGCTGCACGGCTGCCACAGGCTGATCGGGCACATCAGCTCCTTACCCTTCAGCAAGGGAAGGCCTGCGGGGGAACAGGCCTCAGCACGCGGCACGCAGGGCCCTCCCCTCGACACCCACCTTATCCCGGCCGTATCTCCGGAGCAGCCGGTAGGGCCAGACATAGAGGATCTCATTTGTCCGTGGGTCCTTCAGGACGAGACTGTCACGCTCAGCCTTGAGCACGTAGGTGCCACGCAGCTCGCATCGCTCTGCCGCCTCAGTCCGTTGCACTGTCACCCAGAAGGCGTTCACTATGGGGACAGGGATGCTCAGGGGAGGGCGGAGGATGGCACATCCCCAGCACCAGGTGAGGCCTTCCCCTGCCCACCAGAGCCCTGGTGATGGGGCAGCAGGAGGACAGGCCCCGCAGAAGGTGACCCAAAGTCAGGGCAGCAGCAGGTCCCACCTTCGTCTCTCGAGTAGTAGATGGAGTTCACGGCCATCTCCAGGGTCGGTGCCTCCCCGCTGTCCTCTCTGCCACGGCGCGCCGCCACGCCAGCATCGCCTCTTCCCACATCAGCCCCTGGGTCCTCCTGCAGCCACTGTCCCCCCAGCCCAGCATCACCGAGTCCCCACCGCCCCTCCCCGAGGGGCCTATCCCACCCCGCACAGCTTGGCCGTCCTGCAGCCATACCAAGCCCTTCCCTGCCTGGAGCCGGCGGCAGACCCCAGACTCCCCCACCTCGAGCCAACACGAACACGAACGAACAGGGACAAGCAGCGCAGAATGAACTCCGGGCACAACCCTGGGCCCCCGCTGGGCTGTGCATTGGACAGGGTGCAGGAAAAAAAAGCAGTTGCTGCCGGCAGCCATGCCCTGCAGACCCTGCCCCGCAGTGCGGCACAAGCCAGCACTGAGACGCGGCCTCCTGCAGGGCAGCACCCAGGGGTCCCATGTGCCCACGCCACTGCTGTTCCTCTGACGGCTACGGCACGGCCGTGCGGGTGCCCTGGTGCCGAGGCAGAGAACAGCGCTGCTTCCTCAGCAATGTGCTCCAGCACAGGGCGACATCGGCACCCAAAGCATCGCGCGGGGCCAGGCACCCTCTCCCAGCAGGACGAGCAAGGGAGGGAGCTGACAGGACGACCCAGTAACACAAGGTCTGCGTCCCGCTTCTGCACAGGCGGGAAGGCGGTGCCGGTACCAGCGCGCAGCCCGCAGAAGGGAAGCAAGCACTTCTATTTTAGCGCATGCAGAACTGAAAGTGCAACGCACACACTCTGTCAGCCACCGTGTCCCTGCAGCAAGGGTCCCCGAAGGGCCTGCGTGGGGGATGCACCCTCGCTGCTGCCACCGAACAGCAAAGATCCTCCTGCAGGGAAGCCCCACGCAAATGAAAGGCTCGCAGATGCCCCTGCAAGAGCTGCTTCAGCAGAGTCTACACCGGTGCGTGAGGGTCTGTATTTGGACAGGAGCTGGAAGCTGTTTCTCAGGGTCACATGGGATGGGGTTGCAGCAGAGCGTACGTCTTGCAGAAGGCACGCTGTCACAGTTTCAGTTTAAAACCCAACCACATGAGCTTCTTATCAAGAGGCAAGGCCCCAAAAGGGCCATCAGGCCCTCTTCTTTGCCTCCTAAATAGAGTGTGGACTGCTAAAACCTAGTGTCCTTAGAGCCCATAACAGCAACTCCTGCTCAGCTAAAGCATCTCATGCAGCAGAGAACCCGGGATCGGGAAGTCAAGGGACAGCCGGTGTCTGCCAGAGCCCTTTAGGGCTCTGTTTGACTGCACTTTCCCTTATCTTCAAAAGGAGAAGAAATTCTGCTCTGAACTCCAAATGATGCCTAGCCCCAGTTCCCAAGCTACAGAACCCTGCTTACCCCCTGGGCAGCAACAGACGTGACACAAAATCATGCTCTCTGCACAGGTGACCAGAAATCACAGCTGATGATCTTCAGCTTTTTTACAGAGAGGCCACACACAGCTCGTGCCTCTTGCTCCAGGCCAGGCTTTGCTAGAACATGTGCCATCCTCGCAGCCGTTTGCTCGCCGCTTCCTAAACTGTCAGCTTGCTTCTGGCCCTCCAAGCGCACAACTGAGCTACCGTGTGAAGGAAGGTCTGAGCAGACCCCTGCTCCCAGCAGATGTTCCCCTGCCTTGCCACTGCTCTGCACCACTCCAAAGGCACGTGCTGCATCCCCTGCTCAGCCCCGCAAGCCGCTTCCAGGACAAAGGCTGCAACGCCATCCGCACCAAACAGATGCCGGCACGGAGTAACTCCCAGTACCACACTAACGCCTCTTGTCCTGGTCAGCAGGGCACTTGCTGCACAGACGCATTCGGCTTGACAACAGACTGCAGGGAAACGCAAGCAGGGACAAAAAGTGGCTTAAGGTAAATTGCATTCAGCAAACACCCGGGTGCTTGCGAGAAGACCTCGGAGTCACCAGCCATGCAGCCATCCATCCTGGCAGGCAGCCCTGCCCAGCACTCAAAGCCTGGAATCAGCTAGAGCACAACCCGGGGCTGGGCAAACAGGGGACCCATGGCCCCGCAGCTGCTGCCTAGGAGCCAAACGGGTCCCGGAGCCAGGCACTGCAACGCTCTCGGGGCTCCGCTTCCGCCGCCGCTGTGGGCAGGAAAAAGGCAGCAGTGGTTGGGCCAAGAGGAAACACTCCTCAGCCATCACCCGGTCCCCCGCCAGGTCTCTGGAGGGGCCGAGGACGAGCTCCACGCTGGGGGAGAAGAGCCCGACGTGAAATTTGGAGCGGCAACCACGAACTAGTGACAGAACACCGAGGAGTCCCATAACTCACCTGGCTGCCAACATGGTGGGAGCTACCGAGAGGGGACAGGAGTCCCAGGGCCAGGCGCTCTGACCACTTGGGACCACTCAGGGGTGCCTCAGTGTCCCCGTCCCTGCACTGCCCGGGCCCCCAGCTGTGTAGGAAGGGGTCACACCACCACC